ATACCTTCGACACAGGTTGACTATTCAGTCAAAAAATATATTAACCAAAAGAAAGAAAAAATAAACTTTTAAATGTGTAACAAATAAACTAACAATTTTTTGTTGATTAGAAGTCATTTTCCTCGATTTTTAAATTCTGTTTAATATAACTGGCTACCAAGAACTCTAAAGGCTAACCATATAATTTGAACAGAAAGATTAATCATTGGTTTTCTTTCTTTTTTTTTTTGAAAATAATGTCCAAACAAGTAAACTAAATATTTTTTGTTGAAAGGAAGTGATATTCCTCGGTTTTGAATTTCTGTTTAATACTACTGGCTACCCAGAACTCTTAGGGCTGAACCTATAATTTGAACAGAAAAATAAATAATTGTTCTATAGTGGCGGTTTTTTTTTAAGGATTTCTTCTTTGCTGGGTGGTTTTCGAAATAATATTTAAACAAAAGGGGCCAATGACAATGTACGGTATTTTTTGCAGTCGGAATTTTTGTTGATAGGAAGTCTTATTTATTGATTTTGAGATTTAGGTTAATATTACCAGCTAGCCAGGACTCCCAGGACAAATCATATAATTTTATCGGATAGATTAATCAATTTTTATATAAGAGTTGCTAGTTTTTGGACCCTCTTTTATTTGGTTTTTAGGAAATAAGGTTTAAAGAAACCGGGCCAATACATACAAATTCAGTATGTAGGGAGTGCAATTNGGCTTCCCAGAACGCTTAAGGCTGAACATATAATTTGAACAGAAAGATAAATAATTGTTCTATAGTGACGGCTTATTTTAAGGATTTCTTCTTTGCTGGGTTGTTTTGGAAATATGGTTTAAACAAAAGTGGCCAAGCCAATGTACGGTATTTTTGCATTCGGAATTTTTCTTCATAGGAAGTCTTATTTAACGATTTTGAGATTCTTATTAATATTACCAGCTAGCCAGGAATAGCAGGAGAAATCATATAATTTTATCGGATATATTAATAAATTTTTTTTAATGGTTGCTAGTTTTATGAACCCTCTTTTATTTGGTTTTGTAGGAAATAAGGTTTAAAGAAACCCAGCCAATGCATACAAATTCAGTATGTAGGGAGTGCAATGCGTACGGTATAAAATGTATGTACATATTTATGTACATATGTATGTACATATGTTCGGATTGCTGGCCAACCGGCTTTAGAAATAAATATGGAAGCTGTGTCCAACTGATAAGTCAGTTTTTTATATAATTGGTTTTCTTTCTTTTTTATTTGAAAATTTTTTTTAGGATTTCTTCTTTGCTAGGTGGGTTAAGAAATAATGTTTAAACAAAAGGGGCCAATGCCAATGTACGGTATTTTTTGCAGTCGGTATTTTCGTTGATAAGAAGTCTTAATTATTGATTTTGAGATTTAGGTTAATATTACCAGCTAGCCAGGACTCCCAGGACAAATCATATAATTTTATCGGATAGATTAATCTATTTTTATATAAGGGTTGCTGGTTTTTGGACCCTCTTTTATTTGGTTTTTTTGGAAATAAGGTTTAAAGAAACTGTGCCAATACATACAAATTTGTATATAAGGGTTGCTAGTTTTTGGACCCTCTTTTATTTGGTTTTTTAAGAAATAAGGTTTAAAGAAACCGGGCCAATACATAAAAATTTAGTATGTAGGGAGTGCAATGTGTACGGTATAAAATGTATGTACATATTTATGTACATATGTTCGGATTGCTGGCCAACCGGCTTTAGAAATAAATATGGAAGCTGTGTCCCACTGATAAGTCAGTTTTTTATATAATTGGTTTTCTTTCTTTTTTATTTGAAAATAATGTCTAAACAAGTAAACTAAATATTTTTTGTTGAAAGGAAGTGATATTCCTCGGTTTTGAATTTCTGTTTAATACTACTGGCTACCCAGAACTCTTAAGGCTGAACATATAATTTGAACAGAAAGATAAATAATTGTTCTATGGTGGCCGTTTTTTTTAAGGATTTCTTCTTTGCTGGGTGGTTTTAGAAATAATATTTAAACAAAAGGGGCCAATGCCAATGTACGGTATTTATTGCATTCGGAATCTTTGTTGATGGGATGTCTTATTTATTGATTTTGCGATTTAGGTTAATATTACCAGCTAGCCAGGACTCCCAGGACAAATCATATAATTTTATCGGATAGATTAATCAATTTTTATATAAGAGTTGCTAGTTTTATGGACCCTCTTTTATTTGGTTTTGCAGGAAATAAGGTTTAAAGAAACCGGGCCTATGCATAATAGTTCAGTATGCAATGAATGAAATATGTACGGTATAAAATATATGTACATATGTACATAAGATCGGATTGCTGGCCAACCGGCTTCAGAAATATATATGGAAGTTATGTCCAACTGATAAGTCAGTTTTTTATATAATTGGTTTTCTTTCTTTATTTTTGAAAATAATGTGTAAACAAATAAACTAACAATTTTTTGTTGATTAGATATGACTTCTAATTTCCTCGATTTTTAAATTCTGTTTAATAAAACTGGCTACCAAGAACTCTAAAGGCTAACCATATAATTTGAACAGAAAGATTAATCATTGGTTTTCTTTCTTTTTTTTTTTGAAAATAATGTTTAAACTAATAAACTAACAACTTTTTGTTGAAAATAAGTCATATTCCTCGATTTTGAATTTGTGTTTAATATTACTGGCTTCCCAGGACTCCAAAGGCTGAACATATAATTTGAACATAAAGATTACTAATTTTTCTATAATGGCGGCCTTTTTTAAGGATTTCTTTTTTGCTGGGTGGTTTTAGAAATAATGTTTAGACAAAAGGGGCCAATGCCAATGTACGGTACTTTTTGCAGTCGGAATTTTTGTTGATAAGAAGTCTTAATTATTGATTTTGAGATTTAGGTTAATATTACCAGCTAGCCAGGACTCCCAGGACAAATCATATAATTTTATCGGATAGATTAATAAATTTTTATATAAGAGTTGCTAGTTTTATGGACCCTCTTTTATTTGGTTTTTTAGGAAATAAGGTTTAAAGAAACCGGGCCAATACATAACAATTTAGTATGTAGGGAGTGCAATGTGTACGGTATAAAATGTATGTACATATTTATGTACATATGTTCGGATTGCTGGCCAACCGGCTTTAGAAATAAATATGGAACTGTGTTCAACTGATAAGTCAGTTTTTTATATAATTGGTTTTCTTTCTTTTTTATTTGAAAATAAAGTCTAAACAAGTAAACTAAATATTTTTTGTTGAGAGGAAGTCATATTCCTCGGTTTTGAATTTCTGTTTAAAATTACTCGCTACCCAGAACTCTTAAGGCTTAACATATAATTTGAACAGAAAGATAAATCATGTTTCTATAGTGGCGGCTTATTTTAAGGATTTATTTTTGTCTGGGTCGTTTTATAAATATGGTTTAAGCAAAAGGGGCCAATGCCAATGTACGGTATTTTTGCAATCCGAATTTTTCTTCATAGGATAATCTTATTTATCGATTTTAATTTTCTTATTAATATTACCAGCTAGCCAGGACTCCCAGGAGAAATCGTATAATTTTCTATACCCTCTTTTATTTGTTTTTGTAGGATAATTATTATTTCATCGGTACCACTTATTGTCGCAAAATATATATTTTGTCCGTCAGGCAATTATATTCGTTTATTTGAATGCAATTTTGTGGATGGGGCGGTTCCCTCATTGGCTATATTTTTGACTTATTTTTCCTTTATCGATATACACATGCCTACACATTTACACAGTCGGCCAATCGCAGGGCTCTTTCATTTGTAGATATCGCAAGCGATATGTAAATATTTACAAAAAAAAAAACAGACAGATGCAGTGCTTCAATTAAAAAAAACTTAATATTATTGCGCTTCAAGTATTGGAGTGGATTTTTACTACCCCAAGCATTTCGCAGCCCCGATAATTGAATTATTAATTAATTAATTATTATTTCATCGGTACCACTTATTGTCGCAAAATATGTATTTTGTCCGTCAGCCAATTATATTCGTTTATTTGAATGTAATTTTGTGGATGGGGCGGTTCCCTCATTGGCTATATCTTTGACTTACTTTTCCTTTAGTCGTAGTCGTAGTTTTCCACAGTCGGCCAATCACAGGGCTCTTTCATTTGTAGATATCGCAAGCGATATGACGCAAATAGGGTATATTGTTTTTATGCGCGTTAGTGGAAGTATGTAACGCACAGAGAGAAACGTTTCCGACCCCAATTATGGCTGACGACACAGCACAGCACAGCAGACATAGCTTTATCGACTCGGCTATTGATTCTGATCAAGAATATATATACCCTATGGGGTCGGAAACGTTCCTCTCTGTGCGAGGAAACACACACACACACGATATGCCTGCACTGCACCCAGCTCCCCATCCAGGGCTCTTCATACCCTTCATAACCCATGGCCCGCATTGCCCTTCTATTCTAGGCGTTCTGTTCCGAAAACAAATACCACGTACAATGTACGTATGTATGTACATACATACATATGTATATACATAAATATGTGGTACAGACGTATTGTTTTAGAATTCATTTGGATTGCTATTTTACTGAACATAATTGTATGCGTCTGCCTGCAAGGGCCATTTTGCAGTTGTGTTGTTGTGTAGCGGCGGCCATACTTCTTGCCTGTGTGACAACGTACTCAAATAGGGTATATTGTTTTTATGTGCGTTAGTTGAAGTATGTAACGCACATGGATAAGCTTTTCCGACCCCAATTATGGCTGACGACACAGCACAGCACAGCAGACATGGCTATATCGACTCGGCTATTGATGCTGCTCAAGAATATATATACTTTATGGGGTAGAAAACGCTTCCTCCTGTGCGTTACATACAACGGCTATTCGCACAAATAAAATATAACCTATTTACTTTTCGAGTACCGGGTATAAAAAGAACTTGGGGTCTAAAATGAAAAAAATAAGCACATCCTTTATATAAGGAATAATTAAACCATACAAATTTGCATACATTTTCAGAGTTATTAATGGAAAGAAAATTTATTTTTTAAATAGGAAAATAAATAAGAATATAGGACAAGCCATAGATAAAATATCATTGCCAATATAAGTGATGCTGTGATTATTATGTGGATAATAAAGTTTTGAAATACCGTCGATGGAGATGCAAATCACATCCGTTTACTTCCCCAGACAACGAGCTTCATCCTTGAAAACGCATGTCTGGTGGAGCCAATCGAACCGCTGCTTTTTGTTGCAACGCAGGTGCACCATCTTGTGCTTCCCCGACCGTGTTACCTCACATCGGAAGTACTTCTTGCAATCACGAACATCAGGAAAGACTTCATCCTCGTCGCAGTCTTCCTCATTCTTCAACTTCTTGATGATTTTTTTCAAGTACTTTTTCTTTTCCTTTGAGCTCTGCTTTTCCTCTTCATTCTTTTCGTCATCATTGGACTTATTCACCTCGCTGTCTTTTTCCTCTTTGGAATCTTTTGACTTGTCCTTTTCCGCTTCCTTCTTTTCTTCGAGGGAGCTGTCTTTCTCAGTGGATATGGCCTTCTTCTGTTCCTGCTCCTTGGACTGTTCTTCGACAGATTTGGGCTTGTCCTTTGTTCTCTCGCCAGAACCCTTGGGGCTCTGTTCGACAGAGGCGTTCTCGCTGGATACACCTACACCTGATGGGCGTACAGAGGCAGCGTGCTCTACACTTTCGAGACCTTTGGGGCCATTGTTGCTGGGCTTCGCTGGCTGGGGTTTCTCTTGCTCCTGATTGGAAGCGGGCGCCTCAGTAATGCTAACGGGCTTCCGAGTTGTGCGCCAGCCATTCATCCACTTCTGCCAGTCCGGCCAGAATTGAAGTTGCCGATGGGATGGGATGGGCTTGAAGCCATTTCGGGGTCCTTCAGCTGAATCAACACCAGGATTTTTTGCATAATATGGTCCACTTGGCCAGATCGGTAAATGCTGAACTAGACGAAGAGTTGGTCGAGTCTGGCCTGGAAGAAAGAAATGATGCGGATGCTGACGCCATGACTCAGCTGGAGCGTTGGGATCAGCCGGAGTACCTGGAGCCGCAGTGGAAGCAGCTGGAGAGTTTGGATCAGCAGGAGTACCAGAAGCTAGAGTCGAACCAGCTGGAGTGTTGAGATCCGCAGGCGTTTCAGGAGCGCCAGTGGAACTAGCTGGGATGTTGGGATCAGCTGGGGTGCCAGGAGCGGCAGTCGAACCAGCTGGAGCTTTGGGATCAGCAGGGGTGCCAGCAGCGGCAGTCGAACCAGAGTTTGAATTTTCAGGAATACCAGGAGCGGCAGCCGAACCAGCTGGAGCGTTGGGATCATCAGGATTAGCAGGTGCTAAAGTGGAACCAGCTGGAGTCTTGTGACCAGAAGTGGTGCAAGGAGCGGTTGTGGAACCAGCTGGAGAGTTCGGATCAGCTGGAGCGTTTGGATCTTCAGGAATACCAGGAGCGGCAGTGGAACCAGCTGTAGGGTTGGGACCAGCAGTGGTGCCAGGAGCGACTGTGGAACCAGCTGGAGAGTTCGGGTCAGAAGGATTACCAGCTGCGACATTCGAATCAGCGTTTGGATTTTCAGGAATACCAGGAGCAGCAGTCGAAACAGCTGGAGCGTTGGGATCAGCAGGGGTACCAGGATCGGAAGTGGAATCAGCTGGAGCGATGGGATCAGCAGGCGTGCCAGGAGCGGCTGTGGGACCAGAGTTTGAATTTTCAGGAATACCAGGAGCGGCAGCCGAACCAGCTGGAGCGTTGGGATCATCAGGATTACCAGGAGCTGCAGTGGAACCAGCTGGAGTGTTGTGAACAGCAGTGGTGCCAGGAGCGGCTGTGGAACCAGCTGGAGAATTCGGATCAGCTGGATTACCAGGAGCGGCAGTGGAACCAGCTGGTGCGTTTGGATCTTCTGGAATACCAGAAGCGGCAGTGGAACCAGCTGGAATGTTGGGATCAGCAGGGATGCCAGGAGCGGCAGTGGAACCAGCTGGAGCGTTTGGATCTTCAGGAATACCAGGAGCAGCAGTCGAAACAGCTGGAGCGTTCGGATCGTCAGGAATACCAGGAGCGGCAGTTGCACCAGCTGGAGCGTTGGGATCAGCAGGCGTGCCAGGAGCGGCTGTGGAACCAGAGTATGAATTTTCAGGGATACCAGAAGCGGCAGTCGAACCAGCTGGAGCGTGGGGATCATTAGGATTACTCGGTGCGGCAGTCGAACCAGCTGGAGTGTTGTGAACAGCAGTGGTGCCAGGAGCGGCTGTGGAACCAGCTGGAGAATTCGGATCAGCTGTATTACCAGGAGCGGCAGTGGAACCAGCTGGTGCGTTTGGATCTTCAGGAATACCAGGAGCGGCAGTGGAACCAGCTGGAATGTTGGGATCAGCAGGGGTGCCAGGAGCGGCAGTGGAACCAGCTGGAGCGTTTGGATCTTCAGGAATACCAGGAGCGGCAGTTGAACCAGCTGGAGCGTTGGGATCAGCAGGCGTGCCAGGAGCGGCTGTGGAACCAGAGTTTGCATTTTCAGGGATACCAGTAGCGGCAGTCGAACCAGCTGGAGCGTTGGGATCATCAGGATTACCAGGTGCGGCAGTCGAACCAGCTGGAGCGTTGGGATCATCAGGATTACCAGGTGCGGCAGTCGAACCAGCTGGAGCGTTGGGATCATCAGGATTACCAGGTGCGGCAGTCGAACCAGCTGGAGCGTTGGGATCATCAGGATTACCAGGTGCGGCAGTCGAACCAGCTGGAGCGTTGGGATCATCAGGATTACCAGGTGCGGCAGTCGAACCAGCTGGAGCGTTGGGA